CACTAAATGTGAATGGAGTAAATGGACTAGTCACAAGAAAGAGAGTGGCAGATTGGATAAGAAAATGAGACCCATCAATATGCTGCTACAAGAGACTTAGACTCAAAGATAAAAATAAATGAAATATCAAGGGATGGAAAAAATATATCAAGTTAATGACAACCAAATAAGAGGAGTGGAAATATTAATTTCTGATAAAATAAACTTCAAGGCATAATCCATCATAAGGGACAAGGAAGAGCATTATACAATGATAAAAGGGTCAATAGACCAAGAGAAAAAAAAGCATAATAAGTATCTGTGCACCCAATGAAAAAGTTCCAAAATACATAAAGCAAATATTAACCAAATTGGAAGGAGAAATAGACAATACTACAATAGTAGTAGGAAAGTTGAACACTTTAAATGAAGGACAGAACAAGTAGGAAAAAACTCAACAGAGATACAGAAGATCTCAACAACATAATCAACCAACTTGACCTCATAGACACATATGGAGCACTCCATCCAACAAAAACAAAATATGCATTCCCTTCCAGTGCAAATGGATCATTCTCCAGAATACACCATATTTTAGGCCACAATAAATTTAAAAACATCAAAACACTAAAATATCTTCTTGGATAACAATGCTATAAAATTAGAAATCAATAATAGGAGGACCAAGGAAAAAAGGTTAAATGTATAGAAACTGAGTAACACGCTGCTCAAGAACTACTGGGTAGCAGAAGAAATAAAATGTGAAAAAAAAAAAAAAAATCCTAGAAACAAATGAGAATGAAAATACAACATACTGAAACCTTTGGGACAAAGTGAAAGCTGTGCTCAGAGATCAATTTATAGCAATTAATGCACACATCAAAAAAGAAAAAAGAACCCAAATCAACACCTTAATCCAACAACTCCAACAATCAGAAAAAGAGAAATTTAAAAACCCTACAGTGTCCAGAAGAAGAGAAATAGTAAAGATCAGAGCAGAAATAAATGAAGCAGAAAACAGAAGAATAATGGAAAAAATCAACAAGACTCAAAGCTGGTTCTTTGAAAAGATTAACAAAATTGAAAACCACAAGCAAACTGAACTAAGGAAAAGAAAGAGAAGATGCAAATTACATGAATAATAAATGAAATGAGCAGCATCACAATAGAACCAAACAAAATAAAAAGGATAATAACAAAATACTATGAAGAACTGTACTCCAAGCAGTGCAAAAACCTAGAAGAAATGGACAAATTGCTAGAAACACAAGATCTTCTTAAACTAGCACAGACTGAGGTAGAAAATATGAGCAGGCCCATAACAAAAGAAGAAACTGAGCAGGTCATTAAAAAAAAAAAAAAAAAAAAAAAAAAAAAAATCTGCTGACAAATAAAATTCTGCCCCAAGGTGGCTTCACTGGAAAACTCTCTCAAATGTTCAGAGAATAAATGACATCTATCCTACTCAGACTACTCCAGAACATAGAAAAGGACGGAATCCTCCCAAACTCATTCTATGAAGCAAGCATAACCCCGGTACCAAAACCAGGCAAAGAAACCTCTAAAAAGGAAAACTACAGACCAATATCCCTCATGAATATAGATGCAAAAATCTTCAACAAAATCCTAGCCAATAGCATGTATCACTCTATCAAAAAAATAATACAACATGACCAAGTGAGATTCATACTAGGTGTGCAAGGATGGTTCAACATTAGAAAAACAACCAACATAATCCAGCACATATATAAAACAAAGGAAGAGAACCACATGATCATATCAATCAATGCAGAAGAGACAGTTGATAAAATCCAACACCCATTCATGATAAAAATTCTAACAAAATATGAATAGCTAGGAAATTTCTCAGCATAATAAAGGGCATATATGCAAAACCAACAACATATCTCACACCAACATTATTCTCAGTGGAGAGAGACTAAAGCACACAACTTGCAAATGGGATCCAGACAAGAATTCCCTCTATTACCACTTGTATTCAATATTGTATTGGAAGTCCTAAAACAAAAACAAACACACTGCAGTCAAGTCGGATCCAACTCAAAGTGACCCCTCCTTGGGTTTTCGAGGAGATATCACTACAGAAGTAGATTGCCCAACCTTCCTTCCGAGAAGTGGCTGGTGGGTTTGAACCACCAGGCTTCTGGTTAGCAGTCAAATGCCTTATGCACTATGCCATCAGAGCTCCCATTGGAAGTCCTAGCCAGGGCATTTAGCAAGAAAGAGAAATAAAAGCATCTAAATTGGCAAAGAGGAAGTAAAATGATCTCTATTTGCAAATGACATGACCCTATACATAGAAAAATGAAAAGACTCAGCAAGAAAATCACTAGAGTTAATTGAAAGATTTAGCAAAGTGTCAGGGTGCAAGATCAACACACAAAAATCAGTTGGATTCCTCTGCATCAACAAACAGATCTCTGAAAAAGAAAAAAAGGAAAACAATACCATTTACAATAGCTACCAAAAAGATAAAATACTTAGGAATAAATCTTACTAGGGACACAAAAGACCTATACAAAGAAAACTCAAAACACTACTAAAAGAAAGTATAAGAGACCTGTAAAAATAGAAGAATATGCCATGCCCATGCATGGGAAGACAGAACATTGTGAAAATGTCAATAGTACCCAAAGCAATCTATAAATTCAATGCAATGCCAATACAAATTCCATCAACATTCATTAAGGAAATGGAAAAAAACAATCACTAATTTTATGTGGAAAGGAAGGAGAGCTCAGATAAGCAATACAGTACTGAAGAAGAAAAACAAAGTAGGAGGTCTCACACTCCCCAATCTCCAAACCTACTATATAGCCACAATGGTCAAAAATGTCTGGTATTGGTACAATGATAGAACATAGACCAGTGGAACAGAATTGAGGGTCCAGAAATATGTATTAAGAGAATTGAGATCCACCTATATGTGCTGATCTTTGACAAAGAGCTGAAACCCATTTAACAGAGAAGAAATAGTCTCTTTAACAAATGGTGCTATTAAAACTGGATATCCGTTTGTGGGAAAATAAAACAAAATCCATATCTCACACCATACACAAGAATAAATTCAAGATGGATCAAAAACCTAACTATGAACCCAAAACTATCAAGTTCATAAAAGAAAAAAATAGGGGAAATACTTAGGGACCCTAATTTATGGCATAAATAGACTATCAAGCAAGGCCAAAATGCACAAATAGCAGAAGAGAAACTAGATGACTAGGACCTTCAAAAAACTAAATTCTTATATGCATCAAAAGTCTTCTCCAAACGAATAAAAAGAGAACTCACAGATTGGGAAAATATATTTGGCAACAACATATCTGACAAGGGACTTATCTGTAAAATTTATAGAAAATTCTAACTACTCAACATCAAAAAGACAACCAATCCAATTCAAAAATGGGCAAAGAGCACGAACAGACTCAAAAGAAGATACTCAGTCAGCAAACAACACATGAAGAAATCCTCACAAACATTAGCGATTAGAGAGATGCAAATCAAAACAACAAGGAGATATCTCACCCCTGCAATAATAGCAAAGTTCAACAAGACAGAAAACAATAAATTCTGGTGATGGTGTGGAGAGATTGGAATCCTCATACACTGCTGGTGGAACTGTGGAATGGTACAACCACTGTGGAAAATAATATGGCACTTCCTTAAAAATTTGGAAATGGAAATACCTTTTGATCCAGCAATCCCACTACTAGGAATATATCCTGAAGAAGACAGATTCAGAACACAAATAGATACATGCATACCGATGTTCATCACAGCACTGTTTACAATAGCAAAGAGATGGAAACAACCTAAGTGCCCATCAACAGATGAATGGGTAACCAAACTAAGGTACATACACACAATGCAACCCTAAAGAATAATGAAGAATCTATGCAACCCTAAAGAATAATGAAGAATCTGCAAATCATCTCACAACATGGATGAACTTAGAGGACATTATGCTGTGTGAAGTAAGTCAATCACAGAAGGACAAATATTGTATGAGTCCATTATTATAAAAAGTCAAGGATAATGTTTACACAGGGTGAGAAATTTTCTTTGCTGATTACCAGGGATGGGAAGGGAAGGAAAATAGATGAGTAGTTAAGAGACAGGTATTGCTTTGGTGAATATTATGGCCCTGAGTGACCCTTCAGACCTTGAATTGAACTCACTCCCATGGTTTACCTCTCAGTCAAACAATAGACAGGGCTAGGAGGTGAACAGCTACACCAGGGAGAAGCACTCCTTAGAACAGTCACCCATAAGAGATTAGAAGGAGAGCACGTGCACAGAAAGAAAACTTGGGGAGCAGGAATGCACAGGCAAGAAGGACACAGGGAAAGGGTGACCACAGGGAGGAAGTGAGAGGAGAGCTATTACACTGCTGGGGATATAATCAGTGTCACAAAACAAAATGTGTATCAACTGTTGAATGTAAAATCAATCTGCTTTGTAAAATTTTACTCAAAGCACAAAAAAAAAAAAAAAAAGTTTAAAAAAATTTAAAAAGAAGATATGGGCTGCTACAACCCATTTTACAGATGGAGAAAGTACAGTTCAGAAAGAAATAAGTGGTCTATTACACTGATTTTAGAAATGATGCAATAATAGCACAAAACCATTTTATGCAAAATAACCGTAATTAATAAATCTTAGTTGTAATAGATGTCTTGATCATGAAAATAAAGGCTCATACTTCCCTTTGTTTGCCTCAGAACATCTCCAGGTACATCTGTATCTTTAAACCTGTTGTTGTTATGTGCCCTCGATCAGCCCCAACTCATAGTGACTCCTCCTTGGGTTTCCGAGGTGATATCACTATTGGAAGTAGATTGCCCAACCTTCCTTCCGAGAAATGGCTGGTGGAGTGGCTGGTGGGTTTGAACCGCCAGCCTTCTGGGTAGCAGTCAAATGCCTTAAGCACTACGCTACCAGAGCTCCTAGGAGGATAAACCTCTTTAAATCTTAGAAGGATAAATAAGGAAGAATGTTACCTGTTATCCGTCCCAACTGGCCTTTATAGAAATGTCCTACCATGCCCCCAACATGGGCCCCCAGGCTAACACCAATGATGTGGATTGAGGACTCCGAAACACCCAGCACCTAGAACAAGGCATCCACAATGAATCTCATCGAGGCCACAGCAGTCCCTGGTCTCACAGCCTCACGCTTTCTTCTGAGGCTGCAGAACGGAGAGAGTCCTGTGAAAGACATACCTACCACACAAGCTTCAGAGTCAAGGGCAGAATGCTTACCCAGTTAACTACTTGCCCTTTTCCTGCACAGCCCAACCTGATAATCCACTCCCTCTTTAATGCCCAAAGTGTGTGAATAATAATCATGCTGTTCCCTTTTAAGGGACTATGATATGTCAAGAATTCTCACTCACTATTTCTAACGTGTAGAAGTATATTTTACGGAGGAGGAAGCTGATACTCAGAGACCTCAAATATCCTGCCCAAGGTCAGCACTGTAAGTGGCAAAGTTGGCATTTGAACCAAAGATCAACAGTGTCTAAAGCTGCTGGGTGGCTCTGATTGCACCTTAATGTTCCCCTTCCAGTGCTGCTTCTTTCTTTCTGATCCCTCACTTCCATGTTGTTGTTGTTGTTATTTGCCGTTGAGTAGCCCCCGACTCATAGCGACCCCTCCTTGGGTTTCCCGTTGAGTCGCCCCCGACTCATAGCGACCCCTCCTTGGGTTTCCGAGGCAGTATCACTACGGAAGTGGGATTGCCCAACCTTCCTTCCGAGGAGTGGCTGGTGGGTT